GAATCTTAGAGAAATTTTACCTGTTTCTCGTCCTGAGGACGATGCTAGGGATGTGGATGGACTGCGTGGATAATCTAGCATACGGTCAAGAGCTAACTGAAAAAGGAAATGATTTTGAACAAACCAGGAATGATGTTGCATATCAAGAAATTGAAAAGAAGTGGGTGAAGTGAGCTAAGAGATTCAAATTACTTTCAAAAAGCTATATTAGATATAAAAGTTCTAGAAGATTTGAGAAAATTTTGAGATTTTAACAAAATATTAGAAATTCAACATAACGCAGATGTGTATTATAATAACAAGAAACTATAGCAGAAACGGAAATTCCCAAACATTCTTCATTAAACTTTTCAAAATTTGCAATATTTAATTTTTTTTAGAACATCATATTAAGTATGTGCGTCTTCTCTACCTCTTTGAAAAAAGTTAAGACTTTTGGAATTGTTAAATGGCATGTTACAGCTATGCCAGCTGATGTTGAACATTAGCAGAATTGATTTTATGGCTTATTTAATGAAGCTATGGCTATGAAATACAATACAATGATGAAAAAAGAATGTTTGCCAAATTTTTTTTTTTTGAAAATTTGAATATGAGGTGGTGAATTACCAGGGCGTAGAACTAACAAAGCGAGATTGCACAGCTCAAAAGATGATAAATGAGACTTTAAAGGACACAGATGATGAGCAAATAAAAGCAGAGGATATTCACACATAGAGAATTACCTAGGTACGAGAAATGAATTAACACATCTGAAAACGTTTTCATCCAAATTGAAAAAAAAACAAAGAGCTTTCCAGTCGAAATCTGCAGCGAACGGAATTTCGGCAAGTTTTAAGGCATCTGGTCCCAGAGGAACGCACCATTTGCTATTTAATCCTTTGCTCAGAGTTAAGCTCGCCCCCTATATTATAAACAATATACTGATTCAAAACAATAGCATCTACTCGTGTCTATTTAGAAAAGAAATTTTGAAAAACTTAAAAGAACTTAAAGAGAATCAGATTTTACCGGTCCTTATCAAAATCTTATTTCTGAAAAAAAAAATTTCACTCAGAATTTCCTTGCAGTAATTAAAATGTTCTAATATTCTTTGTAAAAAAATATTTCTTGCCATTTTTGAAGAGACTTTTTCGCTAGTGCAAAAGAATGACTTGAACTAACGCAGAAGCTATCAAGTATTTCCAGTGTAGGATGGAGCCTAAGAATCTAGTGCAAAAAAAGCCCACAGGGTAATATTTCTAACAGCTTTGACCGAAGGACTATCTTCTATGGTGTTTTATTTCTAGAGCAACATCTCAACCAGGAGGTTAAATTAGGACATAAGACAGCTTATTTCATAAAATTCTTGCTGATAATCTTTTTATTAAATTCAGAACAAAAGTTGAAATCGAAGACGAATTTTTTTCCATTGTTGTAGGGAGGGTAAGAATTATATATAAGTTAGGACTTTTATATTTTGCTGAGCATCGTTGCTCCAAATATGCAAGTAAAACTTCAAAACAACCATAGAGCAATATTGGAGATATGATTCATAGTCACTTGTCACTATGCAAATGCCCGATGCAGTCTGAGCTTGAACTGCATTGGGTAGGTCAAATTTTGCAGAAACAAAAAGAAATAGAGTTTACAGCAATCAGGCAATCATCGAGCTTATTTGCATTATTTTGCATTTCATTGTTTAAAATTCAGGTGGAAACAAAATAAGGAGAACCCATACAGTAAGAAAAATACGAATAGGAGACCATCGAAAAATACCGAGCATGAGAAGATGGACTATTTGAAGCAAAAAAATGATTGATCATGGACACTTTTCTGATTTTGGAGAAAATAGAAACAGAACATACAAAGGAGGAAGAAAATTTACTGGGAATGAAATTCAATAAGATGTTAGGAGATGTTGGGAGCTTTATGGTTCGTTGATGTTCATTTTGGCACATTTTGGTGCTCTAGAGGACATACAATTAACAAATTTAAGAACTGGAGTGGGAAATAGGCCTTATATGTAGTATTACCCACCGAAACACTTAGAGAAACAGAAAAAAATTAAGTATATAAATATAATTAACATTGGTTTAGGAAGAATAGAAGAAAACAGAACAGAAACAGGAACAAAGAACAAGTGGACAATAAGGTTTGGAAGAACAGAAACAACCAGAGCGAAAACAGAGAGAAAAAAGCAAATAAACATGTAGGTATAAACATATAGAT